ATCATTAGATTGGGATTTTTCCTTCATTTCGATACAATTAGCGATGCCGTCGAGACTAGACGAGAATTATTTTGGAAGGTATGTAACATGCCTTTAGAAGGAAAGGTGCCGGTTGGGGACACCCGTAGATCTATGTGAGGATCCATCATATAATATGAGATGTCTCAAAGAGGTTCAAATTCATCAATAGCAGCCCAAAACGCCACTGTGATTGTTTCGATGCACTCGTGAATTTAATTTTAATACCTTAATAAATTTAATATTTGATTTTGTTTATGTCCGGTCTAAATGTTACGGTAAAAAATATTACGCCATAATTTTACGGTAAATAATATTACGATCCAAATTGTTACGGGGTCTAATTATTATCGGTCGTTTTTATTATTGGAAGTAATATTACGTTTGTTCTGCTTTTTGATCATTCAATGAATATAATTTCCATTGGCAAATTATTGAATTTTGATAGTTGTGTTGAATTAAATTATATCATTATTCATTATTATTTTTGATTGTTAAAAAATAAAACACATTTACTCTTCATCACATTTTTCATTTAAAAAAATGGAATAATATCATCTAAATATTAAAATATTACACTGTTAAAACAAATTTCTAAAAAATAAGAAAAATTAAATTTTTATTCATTTTTTAATGAGATAAAAATATCCAAATCCCCAGGAAATTGCAGTCGAAAATTACTGAAATTGAAAAAAACTGCCTCAAATACAGTCGACAGAACTGCGATGCCATCTGTCAGCTCGCATAAGTACTATCTTTCACAAATGTTTTGTTCGTCCTCTCAAAGAAAAAACCCCCGCCACACGAATGATAATAGAAGTCGACAGGACAAAAGGGGAGAGAATCTAATTCGTGAATCTAGTCTTCTCTCCGAATGTTTTCTTTTCTCCCCGGGAATAGCAAGAATAGCCAGGAGGGACGGCTGTGTGAGCGTCTCCATGGGTCCCCAGGGTTATCTTCCCCGACGTGACCGCACAAAGAATCATAATATTTCACGCGCGAGCCAACTCCTTTTCAGGATAGGTGGATACTATTTTTTCCCTCAATATAAATTTAAAAAATTTTCGAGGAACAAAATATCAGCATCTAAATGACTACTTAGAGCTGTAGTTTTATTTTTCCAAAAACTCGAGCTTATTGTTTTGTTTATTCCCGGAGCGAAATGGAAAGGCCGATCTGGAGACCGGATCTCGATAAACAGAAAAAAAATAACACGGTCTATCTCTATGGGGCCCATCCTCAGAGCACATCCACATAATACACGTGTCTCTGGGTTATCGTTGCGGCGTGACCGCATAAAGACCCGTAATATTTTATGCGAACACGTGTATGAGTAAGGTCAGTGTCGCTCCCGTTCTCGTTGTAGGCGAGTACTTCTCGCAAAAATGTACACTCATATAAAGTGTCTTGCCGGGACAATGAAATGACCGTGAGGTCTGAAGGGATGCGGAATGACAGAACTGTGTGTCATACCACGAGATTAAGTTTCTGCCTCGTGCATACTTGAATTACATATTAGCATTTTGCTGAAGTCGGCGCAATGATTGATGATGACGATTTATATTTCTGAGGAACAATTTTTTAGGAAACCCCGATGTGATCCCCATGACCCTTAATCTGACCCTCGTGACCCTCATTTTGACCCTTCATTTCTGACCCTTTATTTTGGAGTCTCAGTTTCGAGTACAAAATTTTTCATCCCCAGAAATCGATTTGGATTTTTATAATATAGGGAGATATATAGAGACCCTTATTTTGACCCTTGTGAAAATTAGTTTTTACCCTTAGTTTTTGATCCCTATGACCCTTATTTGGACCCTTGCGAACCTTAATGTGATCCTTGTGTCCATTAATCTGACCCTTATGACCCTTATTCTGACCGTCGTGACTTCTTCTGACCCTCATGGCACTGATTATGATCCTCATGATCCTTATTCTGACCCTCATTACCCTTATTAACCCTTAAATACCGTCCCCCCCTAAGTTTTGACCCCCATGACCCTTATTTGGACCCTTACGTTGACCCTTGCGAACTTTAATGTGATCCTTGTGAGCCTTATTGTGACCCTTAACTGAGCAAGGGTCAGCCCTTGCATTCATTAATCTGACCCTTATGGCCCTTATTCTGATCCTCATGACCTCATTCTGATCCTCATGATGCTTACTAACCCTGTCGACCCTTAGTTTTTTACCCCTATGACCCTTATTTGAACCCTTGCGCTGACCCCTATGAACCTTAATGTGAGCCTCGTGACCCTTATTTAAACCCTGAATCTGACCCTTGCGTTCTTGAATCTCACCCTCATGATCCTTACTCTAGCCCTCATGACCCTTATTAACCCTTGCAAAACCCTGTTGACCCTTAATTTTAAAGTTTTAATTTCGACTACCAAATTTTCATCACCAGAAGTCAATTCGGACTTTTACAATACAGAGAGACAATTTTCCGAGTAACAATTATCCTAGAACCATTTGGGTAAAGTGTCTGCTTCAATAATGTGAGCTCACACAAAGTGTCCTGCCAGCACAATGAAACGGCCGTGAGGCCCAAGGGATGCGGAATGACAGAGCTCTGAATCACACCGCGAGATTAAATTTCCCCCTCGTGCACGCTTGAATTACGTATTAGTATTCTCCAGAAGTCCGCAGTATGATTGATGATCCTGTCCAATAGCCATCGAGCCCCTTGAAATCATAAACAGAGACATCGAGTCAATTCCAAAAAGAGCGTCGGAATAATAGCACCAACGTTGACATGTTTATACCCAACTTTTCCCAACAAACGCAAGTTTTATTCTCGCGCGCACAGAAGACGACATCAATGCATGTTTATGCAGGTCCATAGAAAGCCGCGTTAAACGCGTATTTACGGTTATAGCGAGACTGGACAGGCGCGAGGTCCTCTATCTTGCACGTCCCAACAGCCATGATGAAAATAAAAATCGCCGAGAGGAAGCAACTGAGCTAGGGAGCGGCATTTCGTATTCATTATACTTACATCACGAAAGCCACTTGGGCGAAACGCTCTTCGGTAGTACTTTGTGCGTCGTTAACTGGCAGATGTGAGCCCTCTCCACCGTAGGTGGTCAGGAGAGAATGAAAATCTTGCGGTTGGTCAATGTCATTCGTTTGGACGGAGTCAAAAATCCTGACTTTAAGTTGATTTTCTACGGGCCCATAAAATTTCGGAGATATTGAACGTCTGGAACAACAGCTTCATTCCGGAGACATCAGGGAGCGTGAAAGGACACGATTGCACAAGCCTCAGCGTGATTTATCGCGACCCTCCAACAGGTTGACGCGGAATATTCACAAGTGTGTGTATATTCCGCGATACATGTCAAATGTGAGGTGGAAGGGGTACGAGAACAAGTCGTGCGTACGTAGATCATACTTGGCTGGACGTTAAGGGAAAATGGAATGTATATTTTACGATTGTGTGGGCGTAAGTGCCGTCTCAAAGAGACTCGAAAGTATATTGGTGGAGGTATGAAGGTATGAAGGAGGTACGACAGTGTACTGTATCTCGTTGTTGTATGGTGGCCGGTGCATATTCGAGACAAGCGTTTGGAAATGTCGTCGGTAATGGCCCGGCGGGTGGCCATTATCTTCCGTTTGGAAACAGTGGCTGACAAATTTCCCTCGCGCCCACCGGGACAGCTTCCTGGAGCCAACACCAGCATTCTTCGTTTCAACGTGTTGATGTCTCCAACAATCGGATTGATGATCACAGCTGGACACAAGAGACACTCAAGATTAATTGCATTGTCTATCTGTTTTTCTTCATCCGTGACACTCCATTTCCTGTTGCCACAGGATTTGCCATGACGAGAGTGGAATAGCGGTATAATCCAGGTGACCTCATGCCCATTGTCGAGCCGCCTGTGATCAGCTGGCAATGTCTCGTGATTTTGTCGATGATCAAAGGAATTTTCATTGAGCTTATCCCGTATGTGTGACGTAGGTGGGGAGATTGTGAACGCGAGATGGCAGATGTTTCGATGAAATTATTCGGGATTAGTGATGCTGCTAGACGCGAGTGAAATGAGACGTGACGAGACAAACGAGACGAGAGACATGATGAGACGAGACGAGACCAGAGTCGAGAGAGCCTCCCTCTGTGTATTTTTTTCTCTGCTAATTGGATTCTAGAGACGAGACAAGACGAGACGAGACAAGACGAAACGAGACGAGACAAGACGAAACGAGACGAGACACGACAAGACAAAACGAAACGAGACTAGACGAAACGAGACGAGACGAAACGAGACTAGACGAAACGAGACGAGACAAGACGAAACGGAACGAGACGAGACGAGACGAGACGAGACGAGACAAGACGAAACGAGACGAAACGAGAGAATCTCTCAATTCTCGACGAGACGAGAGAAGAAATTGCTCTCGTATTCCGTTACGAGACGAGAAGCTGTATCTTCTCGTATCCTCTCGTTTCGCGGCATCACTGTTCATGATTAATTTGAATTATGTAGATTACCCAGGAAATGTTGAGGCCCCTCGAAGGGATCAGGTCGAATGGCCAATAAAACCGTCGTATGAAACTCCGCCTAGAGTTCATATAATGAAGAGATACAGCACATTGGTCGGCGACCCTGCGACCTTGAGACTGTAAATAGCGAGTATCTCTTAACCCCTCGATGCCGCCGTCAACTTTGCAAGAATATTCCGATAGAATTGGACAAGAGAAACATGACCGTTAGAACCATTGTAAATGCACTTTGGCTCACGGAATCGTGACGTGAGTCGACAAGAATTTTTTTCCCCTATCAATCCCGATATTTTTCCGGTATTTTAAAACCTCGGATACTCAACACCGATGCGTCAATCATGCGCGACGAGATTGAACCACTTAGAAGGTTCAGAAAACCGTTGTGTTTACGAAAAAAAAAAGTAGAACATGTTGTTCCAATGAACCGCAATTCACGGACACTTTTTAAACGATTTCTCTTCTATTTTGATTACAGATGCATTTGGAGATCACAGACAGGGGAGAATGGCCCTTCACGCGGAGCCTCCGGCGAATAAAGCCAAACGAGAGCAAGCTCTCCGCCACATTCTGGCAGCTAGAAGACGTCAGATCCTGGCACCAAGATCGATTACACCGAGAACTCCAAAACCAGTTGGCAATGTATCCAAGGATCCCCTGGACATGCTGGAGGGGCAGGAGACACGACACGGTGTTTTTGTCACAGCACCAATGGGCGATCAGATCGCTGAAATAGTCGAGGACGATGAGGACGCGGAGATAACACCGTCTACAATGCAAATTATCGAGGCGCCTTCAAATCCCAGTGAAAACACATCGACATTTATCCCGGAGTTCGGCAATAACACGAAAAAAGATGTTAATGCATCGCGAAACTCATCGATATCTTCGAGAAGCCAGAAGAGCCCGGATGACGTTTCGCGGAGGAAAAACACTGTTGCGATGCCGGAATCGCTCTACAATCACTTCAGGCCGGTGGAAAGTAACATTCCCGTGGAGGACATGACGCAGTTTCTGTATTTCGGCCAGAAAATTCACCCCGAAAACACAACGAGCAACAACTCGGTGGAGGTGACATCGGCCTCGCCGACGTCCGTAAACTCCCGAAGGAGATTTAATCCAAAGAGATTCAGTACAACTCTCAGTTCAGTTCCCAAACTCGAGGACATCATGAACGAGGAAATGGACATTGCCCTGGAGAAGTCGACAGTCGAGAGGAATAAAATCCTCAAGACAAAGAATGCATTCAGAAATACCGGTATTTACTCTAGAAAGCCACCGGTTAGGCCATCAGATCCGACAATAGTCACGAACGTTATTTTAACGAATAGAAACAAGAGCGAGACAGAAGTGGACTCGTCCGCTCACGCCAACCAGCTGGCGATTGCCGATCAGGGAAAAGGAAGTTCGACCCACTGGGCCAACAGCACGACAGATTCAACCCAGATTCCGCCGGTACGCCAGGACAACGGTACCGAGAGTGAAATGACTGGATCTGACGTCATAACGACGATATATCCCGGCGAATTGCCGGACGACTACCAAAACGACGCGTCAACTTCGGCTGGTAAACATCGCTTCTTCAGAAGTAAAAAGAGCGACTCGATTTCCCGAAGTGACACGATTGACGAGGCGGTGACGACGGAGGCGAGCGCCGTGGTCGTCACAACGGAGAACGACGAGCTCCGTCGGCTGACGAGACTGTCGACCTGGATGTCAGTCGACCAAGTGACATCGTTATCCTCGTCGACGGACGCGTCGACGGTCAACGACCTCACACCAAACACCCCCACACTATCCGACGATCTCCGTCAGCCGCATTCGTCCCTGAGGATAGTCGTCACGGAGCCGACGGCCGACGGATTAGCGACGGCGCACGCCGAAAATTCGACGGCCGCGCCAGTCGCAACGGCAACCGCTGCGGTCACAACGGAGAGGTCGCCAGCATCGTTAACGAACTCAACGGATCTAACGGAGACGGTCCCACCTGTTGCTTCAACGCATCCGTACACCTACACCATAACAAACGTAACTCGTCTGTTACGCAACTACACTGGACCTGGGCCAAGTGAGAAGACAGCAGCAGCGACAGCGCTGAAAACCCCGGGATCGGAAGGGGAAGAGGAAAAAGAAAATGATGATGATGAGGCTGGACTCCTTCCTCCACTTTCCGGCGTTGTAGGTATAGAGTCGGCGCGCGCGTCCGCTGGTGCCAGTGGTGATCCGGCCGCCGTTGAAACCACAACGCTGGTGGGGGATCGCGGTAGAAGACTAACACAACAGCGGAATACATCGCGCAATAACACAGTGAACTCGATTGACGTGAATTTCACAACGGAAAACACTGTGACGAGTGGAATTGATGCTGACGGTGCATCGACAGTCCGCTGGAACGACACAGCGAGGGCTGACGATGAGAGGGAGACAAGTGGTGATCGTAGATTTATGAGAAAATCGGCAAGTGCTGTGTTGAATCAGCGGACGAGTGAGGATAGAGAGTTCAAGAGGAGGCGTGGTGACACCGGTGGTAGAAGGGTCAAGGGATTGAAGAGTGAAGAGAGACATCTCGGGTACAGGTCAATGGACAATAAAACGCGGAGTGACCATGAGGTGACTTTGCATAACAAAACAGGGAATATTGACGCGATGGGGAAGCTAGTTGACGACCGGACGACCCTGTCGCCTTTCACAATTCTCGATGTGCCACCGGTGAGTAGCGGTGAGCAGTCCAAGCCCAACAGGACTGAGGAAAGTGCCAGGGGAGATGACAAATTGGCGGTCACCACAGTTCCGAGTGAATACAGTGAATCCTACGGCTCGGCGGAGGCCACGACAGTGGGGACTGTCGAAGCCTCGACAATGGGGTCACTGGGCCCAACAATGAGAAGCGCATCAGCAACGACAACCGCGAGACCGCCGGTTTTCCCGGTAACACCGGTCATTCTGAATGGATTGAATAAGGTCACTAGGGACGAGCCGGACGAGCCGATTGACGCGGCCGGGCCGAAAAATCCGGAGAAGCCCTTCGGCATTGACAAGGAGCTCGATCCCTCGGAAATCCAAAAGATGTACCGTGCCCAGACCACCTTGAAGCCCGAAACAACCATGACGACACTACCCCCTGAGGTCACGAGGCTCGGGGACAACCCGATGACCTCTGAAGCGAAAATGGTAACGGCCAAACCGCAGGTGGGTGAGAGGTCACCAGAAGTCAGAGGTAGAAATCTCTCCGACAAAAGCAAGGATAAGGACGATGTTCTTCCCATAATGCAGCTGTACAATAACTCTAACATCTTGAATGGCACGATGAAAAATCCACTGGAGGGCGAGGGCACAACAGCCCCTCCGCCGACGAGACTAACCCCTGACCCCGGAGCAATGACATTAACTCCGCCAGCGGAAGCTGTCACAGTGCGACCGGCGGAGGATGCGATCGGCAATAAACACGATTGGGTGGCGGATTCCGAGGATGGTGGGGCTGTTAATTCAACGAGAACGAGTAAAAATCGGCAAGATGTGAACCGGGAAGTTCAGGATAGCCCTGGCAGATGGTCAAATGCATCGGCTTCCGCTAATAAAACACGTGCTAGGCCACTTTTTTATAATTCGGGACCACCGGAATACAGTGGCTATCATCCTGAGTTGAATGCGAGTTACTTTGGGCCCGGCACGATCGCCGAGAGCCCCAGGGACGTGCTCAATGTCAGTGAGGTCATAACCAAGAGACACGATGGCGATACCCTAGCCACCCAGGAGACTGTTGCAATTGTTAGTTATATCCTAGCTACGTTAGTTGTCTTCCCAATAGCCGTTGGTGTTGGGCTCATCCTCAGAAGACTGATCATTAGAAATCGAAAGGTAAATTTTCACTGTCATCGTCGTTCATTATCAGATTTATTTATTTGTTTATTTGGCTTTTGATACCCTTTACCAGTCGACGATCCCGTGAATTATGACACTGGTGTGGATAACGAGCGGTCTGGGGTCGGGCAAGCGTGTCGTAAAATTCCTCGGCTCGATTTCCTCTTTTTTGTCCGCTCGGTTTTTCATCCACCTTCGTCGATCTTTTTTGAGTGATGGGTGGGTGTATCTGATGATTGTTGATCGTTGAAAAATTTTGGACGGTATCATGCGCAGAGCTGGTGAAACACTATTTGGAATACTATTTCAAATAGTTATGATTAACTACTATTTTGGAGTTATTGAACATCGCAAAGGAAATGGTATTTAAGTAGGTGGATCGAGGAACTTGCTCTTTGAAATAATTCCGCGCATTTTCTTCAATTTTTTTTTCGTTACTTGAAAATTTTTTTTTCTAGAGAAGAAATTAGAACGGAAACAACACTGAGAACTGAGAAACAATAATTAGAAACAACAATTTTTCAAGATATCAAATTCATTGCGATTACGTCACCACTGAAGGTGATAAGGAATAGGAAAGCGAAATATTGTATAGGAATAGGAAAGTGAAATAATATAGTAAATACTATTTCATTTTTTGTTTCGTTGAAATGAAATATCAAATAACTATTTTATTTTAATTTCAAAAAGATATATAAATAAATACTATTTGATCGATCGAAATAGTCAACTTGAAATATATATTTCAAATAGTATTTCATAGTACTCAACTATTTGGAATAGTATTTCTATTTGATTTTTACAAAATAGTGCCCAGTTCTGCGATTATGTCACCGCGAGAAATCAATGAAGGTGATAAGGAATATGAAAGCGAAATATTCGTAGCAAAAAAATCTATTTCATGCAAAACCAAATAGTGAAATAGTGAAATAAAATAGTAAATACTATTTCATTTTCTCTTTCGTTGAACTGAAATACCAAATAACTATTTTATTTCAATTTCAAAAAGAAATGTAAATAAATACTATTTGATCGATCGAAATAGTCAACCTAAAATATATATTTCAAATAGTATTTCATAGTACTCAACTATTTGGAATAGTATTTCTATTTGATTTTTACAAAATAGTGCCCAGTTCTGCGATTATGTCACCGCGAGAAATCAATGAAGGTGATAAGGAATATGAAAGCGAAATATTCGTAGCAAAAAAATCTATTTCATGCAAAACCAAATAGTGAAATAGTGAAATAAAATAGTAAATACTATTTCATTTTCTCTTTCGTTGAACTGAAATACCAAATAACTATTTTATTTCAATTTCAAAAAGAAATGTAAATAAATACTATTTGATCGATCGAAATAGTCAACCTAAAATATATATTTCAAATAGTATTTCATAGTACTCAACTATTTGGAATAGTATTTCTATTTGATTTTTACAAAATAGTGCCCAGTTCTGCGATTATATCACCACGAGAAAACAATGAAGATGATAAGAAATAGGAATGCGAAATATGCGTAGACAAAAAAACTATTTCATGTAAAACCAAATAGTGAAATAGTGAACTGAAATAGTAAATACTATTATATTTAATTTTCTGTTTCGTTGAAATGAAATATCAAATAACTATTTTATTTCAATTTCAAAAAGAAATATGAATAAATACTATTTGATCGATCGAAATAATCAACTTGAAATGTATATTTCAAATAGTATTTCATCGTGCTGAACCTTTTGAAATAGTATTTCCGTTTCATTTCCATAAAATAGTGCCCAGCTCTGATCATACAAAGCGCACGCGATTGTGAATACGCTTCACGGCCAAGATCGTAATGACAGAGTTGTGCGAGGAGTTTTGACCCACGTGTGGTGGTTGAATCTTCTTCCCCGGTTGATTGTCGGTGATTAAATCTCAATGGAAAGACGGCAGATTCGTCCTGCGATTGAGGCCAGTGATCACTTTAAACGTGTCATCCTTGTATCTGATTTCTCCCCTGCAATTTTTCGTTGCACTGAGGATATTAAGAATATTAAGAATCAATTTCATGAGTGGATACGAGAGATGAGCCGTGTTGATACCCTTGGGGTGAATTGATGAATAAATTTTCACCGTCAAAAATCAATTGGTATGGACAAACGGCCTTGCCGCTGACGAGGCCGCACATCCTCATGAACACAATAAATTTTCTCTTTAATGTGCGCTTGTGGTGTGGGTCTGCAGATAATAACACAATTATCGTTAATGACTCGCCGAGATTAGACACGATGATGCGATACCTAACGGAGAATGCGGGCTAATAGTTGCAATCGGTTTCCATATCGATGTCACTTATATAAATCCTTAAGAGCTGAACAAAAGGAAGATTTTAATAAGAGTCGAAGCTTTGGCTATTTACAGAGGAGGCCAAGGATCCGGGCTTTGAATGAGTGATAATACTCATTTTCTCGCCAGTCTAATAAGGAAAATGAGTTTTTGATTTAAATATTCGCACGCAGAGGCCCGAGGCCACAACTATATTCGATATTCAATACAGTTTACTACGCTTTGACGATTAAATTTTCATCCCACTCGTGTACTGCCTATTCAGCGGTCATTCCCCATTAGTTGACGGGTTGGGAATTTAATTTATGCCTGTACGTTCTCAGTTTACGATCGAAATTCGTTCCATTGGTTCACCATTTTGCTGGATACAAAGGGCTCGGGGGTCGTCAGCGAGAATGGGCCCTTGATTTTCACTCTTTGGTTTATTATGATTTTCAATGTCTTCTTGTAACGCTTATTGTGGTGGAAAAAATTGAATGATATTGGGATTTTTGAGCAGCAGAAAATTGAGGGTTCCATAATTTATTTGATTTTTTAATGACGGTTTGCATATTTAGTAACAAATTACTCCGGATTTTTAATTAATTGAAAATGAGAGATAATTTTTACAGGAGTTTTCCTATTTCGATTAATTTTTTAGGAATAATTGAACGGAAATTTAGGATTTTCCGTCATTTTTTCATAAAATTTTGTATTTCTAGGATGAAATTTCTTGCAATTTCAGTAGAACGGGAATATGGCAATTTTTAATTTGAAATTTCACCGACAGTTGACTAATAATTTTAAGGGTAGAACACACATTGAATTCGATGAACGAGAAAAATCGTGAAATTGCAGATTTCAGAAAAAAATTGACAAAATTTTAGTCAATAATTTTTTTTACTAAATTTATTTTCTGCAAAATTGTTAATTTTCAATGACAAATTTTAATCAATTATTTTTTTTATAAAATTTATTTTTCCATAGAAAATTCTAATTTTTAATGACGAAATTCCATGGAATTTCACTGGAATTATAAAGTGCTAAAAAATTGCAAGAAATATCCCGGAAATTTCAGTCAAAATTATTCAACAGTACACATCAGGCTTTCCTCTTCCGTCCCGAAGCCTCGAGGGCAAATAGCCTTGACGAGGCCCACGAGACGAACCGACGGAAAATATTATTTTTTCTTGAATCCATAACTTCCCAACTGACCCTACTCCCCAAGCATGCAATTCACTCAATAAAATGAACATTCCCCGGCTTGAGTAACGAAAAACCCATTAAACTCAATTTTGTTGTGAGTCAAGACGTGACGATACGAAATTTGCAACATCACTGGCCTCAGCGTGGACGTTTTACACTTGAGCATAATGTCCCCGAGGGGAGTTGAAAATTTACGGCATCACTAACGCCTTCGTACATCGCCGACGCAATTGTTTATTACCTGGAAGCGTCGGTACTAATTTCTTTAAACGCAGAAGCCTCTCATTTGGGATTTCCAAGGTCAACAATCGGCCTCTTGACCGCGTCCTCACACTCGAATAACGTGTTTTCAATTCCCTTCATCGATATTTTTCACATTATTTTCTTCATCTGCGCATCGGCAATTCGTAATTAACCGGCGCCGAACATCTCAAGATTAATGGGACCGCTAGTCAGATAATTGTGCAGACAATTACGTAGTAATTGTTTGACGTATTTCAGTGTAATTGACGTCGAGTCTGAAATTGAAGAGAAAAATGCAGACATCCCATGTAGGATTTACCGATATATACAATACGTCCAAACATCGATACCAATAGCATTCACCCATGCTCTCTCCTAATACACAGAATATAGATATTGATAGCCCGAACGAAAGCCCAAATATTTTGAGAATAGTAAATTAATTAATCAACTCTTCTCATCGGAGTTACAGATTAGTTAATTAACTGCTGATAATCGCATTTGAGGATTCAAACAAAAACACCATGTGGTATTTATATACCCGAAAAAACTTCATCTTCGCAAGAAATTTTAAATGGCTCAGTGGACAGCGTGCTTGACTACAGATCAGAAGGACTCGCGATCGAATCCCGTCGGGGGCAATTTTTTTTTTTCAATTTTCTTTTTTTCTTTTTTGGTTCACTGGAATGAATAAGGAGGGTTATAAAACGATGATATTAGAAATTATTGGAACTAATATGTATGAACCATTTTAAAATTTTGTTTCACCGATGGTTGGCTGATGATCGACGCCGTCAATTAATTGTTGTAGTTAATTAATTGTTGATAATCGCATTTGAGGATTCAAACAAAAACACTATGTGGTATTTATATACCCGAAAAAAATTGATCTTCCGAGAAAATTTTAGATAGCTCAGTGGGCAGCGCATTTGACTACAGATCAGAAGGACTCGCGATCGAATCCCATTAAGGGGAAATTTTTTTTTAATTTCATTTTTTTTGGTTCACTGGAATGGACAAAAAGAGTTATAAAACGATTCTAAATTATTGGAACTAATATGTATGAACGATTTAAAAATTTTGTTTCACCGATGTACAATGATAATTTCAATTGTCCCATTCCCACAGTCAACGAACTCGCCATCAAAATAAATTTACACGACTGAACTTTTCCCTTGCTTATGCAGGTGCTGGAGGAGTCGGACACGTCATCTGAGATAAGCTGCAGAAAAGACGCTCTGAATCTCGAGAATGGGGACTTCAAGACATCGATTGAAAAAGCGATAACAAAATTGCCGAGGATACAGCATCTGGTGAGCCAGAATGAGCTCAAGAAAAATGTGATGAATTTATATTCATCTGCATGATTTAAATTCCCGGGGTAATGATCAATATATTTTAATAACCCGTTTCTATTGTATGTAATCAGTGTCACGAGGCTGAAAAACCACCGCCTCCGTCGTCCCAGGAGTCGCGCTGGGAGTTTCCACGTGACAAGCTCAGATTGCAAACTGTACTTGGTCAGGGCAATTTCGGACAAGTTTGGAAGGCCGAGGCCGACGATTTAACCGGTCACCAGGGAACAACGAGGCTCGTTGCTGTTAAAACGGTTAAGGAGGGCGCATCGGCCAGGGAGAAGGAGGATTTAGTCAGAGAGTTGGAGATAATGCAGCAGCTCGGCAATCATCCCAATGTCGTTACGTTGCTGGGCTGCTGCACTGAAGAAGGTGAGTTTTACCTATTTCGTTTTTATTTTGTGGTTCATGTAGACACGAGAGACTTTACATTTTTTTAATGGCAAAATCTCATTCAATTGCGGATGAAATTGAATAAATGGGGACATTTCATGATTTCTCCGAGTTTTATGACCCCTTGAAACTCTTTCGATACTTTTTAGAGACAGACCGGTACAGAATAGAATAGACTAGTCCTGTGCGCACTGGGAAAATGAAGAAATCGAATTTATTAAACTTCATATACTCATAGATGTTCTATAAATATTGATAATGACTTGAAGAGAATTAAAAGAGTGAAGAGTGACACATCAATGAATAATTTTTAATCTTCGATTAATTCTTTCTTTTTTACTTGAAATAATCTGATTAAAATCTGTAATTGATGAAAAATGAGGGGAGGGTTATGAATTGATTTCCTAGAAAACTGAAAAAATTTCTTGAATTCGGAAAATTTCAGTTTTCCAGATAACCGTAGATCTTCAAAGATTTTTCTCGAATTATTTGGGAAACCGAGGAATTTTCATGAATTTTGTAGAGTTTAGAATTTGGGAAGTGAAGAATAATTTGTGAGTTGAAAAAATTTAGAAATACTATTTATCTTTCTCATGATCAACAATTAGACAATTTAGATATGTTTTGATCTAAAGATAAACTTCACACATGAAAAAATGATAAATATGACGCAGAAAATTTTTTCGGCATTTGAAGAATTTGAAAATACCGGGGATTTTTTTCAGCGACTACTTCACGTGACTCATTGACCAACCAGAATTGAGGATTAGCGATCAGGCAGTTTCGAGATATTTCGATATAAAACAACTTCACGTTTCTTTCATCTTTAGTAAATAAAAAATAAATTAGTTAAATAAAAAAAAAGAGAAGATTCAAGAAATTATTGCAATGGCTCTTTCTAAGAAAAATTCTCCATCTGCACCAAGTTATACTGACATTAACGACTCCCGTCCGCCGAAAGTTTTCTCAAAATAATTCAACCCAAGAATTCATATTTTTCCTTCCCCCATTGTTGCCCGAGTGACACAGTAATTGGCCAATTTCACCATTTGAACGTCAACTCTCAAGACAGTATTGACACGACGTTGGTATACGAAACGTGAGAAATAGCGTACGAGATTGAATTCAATTATCATTCCTAGAAACTAATTATATTTTTTCCCCCGTTAAATAACAAACTTATTACCCAGCTTTATTTATCCTTCATTATTGCAACAATTGCCACTCAACGCCACTCGATTTTATTTCCATCCGCCAGTCAACAGTGAATTTATCGTCCGGACGAACTTGCCACTGGTTTTTCAGGGTGAGGCGAGGTTTGAAGGGAAATAAAAAAAAAATTATTGCGATGAGACGGGAAGAGAAGACGCTCCCCGTTGGCTCGGAGAAGACACGAGACGGATCATTACGTCTCTTCTGCCTGCGCATATCCGCGAATAAATTTACATACGTACTTGGGTACTTGGCTGTACGTCTCGTGAGATCCACAACGCTTTGCTGTATAGCACAATACCGCCATTAAGTCCGCGTGCAAAGTCTCCTCTCGCGTGATCGCACCTCCCCCTCGCCTCAACCCCTCAGCGCTTCTCACCCGCCGAGGTGATAGACAGAAATTATCATTTGTTTAATTCCTTTTCAATTTTCCACGCGATAATATTCACGGCCGCGTGTCACGATCAATTATTCCTCTGTATACCAGTTTTGCTGTTGGGAATTTACATTTTTAACGTGCACTTGGGGGTAACAATGAATATTCAAATTCGTATGCGGAGGAATTTCACTAATTCAGCAGCGAAGTCGTACAAAAAAATATATTGATTTATTTTAAACATATTAACGTTCCGACTGTAGTTTCTTCCATAATAATGATAAGCTCCGGCCATTATTTCCAGTCAGTTGCTTCAAATTAATCAAAACAGAATGAAAAAACTCCAAGGCATTCTGTCAAAATTGCACGACGTTTCGAATGCTCTGGGCATTCCTCCTCAGGTGCATTTATTGTAAACTATAAAACAAAATTACCAGAATAACTATTGCTCATACTATGATTTATTTTAATATTTTTCAATTGAACTGGGTTGCCAGATGCTTTGGCGAGAAGTCGCCGAACCTGCAAGGAGAGGAATATTCAGTAAAAATTACGTGTCCTATTCGTAATTCCGGAACGAAATGTGGAATTTTTCCAGAGCGTTCCGTAATTTTTGACTGTCCGATTTACCCGGAATTTCAGTTAATTAATTTTAAATTTTTCTATTAATTTTAATTTCGACAATTAATTTTCCAATGAAAAAATTCAGGATATTTTCCCGGAATAATTGCTGTGAAATTTACAATTCTCATCAATTTTTCCATAAGACTTTAAATTTCCACTGCCCCAAATTCCCCGAAATTTCAGTAAAAAAAATTGTTAGCAGTGTACGTGAGAAATAAAAATTGATAATAAACAGAAAGCGATGGGCAATTTTACTCGAAGGGGTCCGGAGCACTGCAGAACTCTCATAAAAATGATATAGAGGGAATTTACATCGTGACTCTGCCGCCCACTTAGACCAAAATTAACCGAGGACCGGATCGTACTTTTAAATCTTATTGCTGGGCATACCAGCGCGGAGGGTGCGCCCTGCTTGGTACCTCAGGGCTCGTTGTAGGGTTGCGCGCCTGGGCAACGTGTAATTTTTTTCCACCATATAATACACAATAGCCCATCTCCGACATCCGACCTGCACAAGAAACTTCATGGCGATATTTATGGCTTCTAAGCATTCCTCCGAGTTACATATATACTCGGGAAAAAAAGGGATGATAAATTCTTTACAGCAACTGGAAATATTCACAACTTCTTCAGGACTAAAAATAAGAGATTCTTTTTGTCGTGACGAATTTAGGCGGTGGACTGAGAAATTCACCTCTGTAAATTGTTTTTTTTTCTCAAGGGCCCCCGGTTTGCTGAGGAATACATCAGCTTTATCACAAACCGCGGGAGAATTGATGGTCCCTGAAACCTAAAAAATTAACCGTCTCATAAAGCTTTGTAACTCATCAAGACCCATAACCGACCGCTGCTATCAAATTCGCGAAAATGTCCTGCGAAGTGCATAACTGTTAAACTAAAAATAGTCTCCACAGTGGCAGATTGTCCGGTCAAGGTTTCCATTATCATTTTTTCAGCAGTAAAGATTTTCAAGTGGCAGTAGCCACGTGAAAATGGCCGGAGTTTATTGCAAATTGAATGCTTCGAGTCCTCAAGGTGAAATTGTTGGTATCAACAGGCACTACCGGCCAGTGGCTGTGAGGGCTTAGGATTAAGATGCCGCCTAGCATCCGCCGTTTTATCACATTTCACGGGGCTTACATTACCCTGCCAGCGGCCCTTGCACTGAAAAACAATTATTCAAAAATTTTTCACTTCGTGGACAGACGAGGGGCTGGGAACTCCAAGATGGAGTGACACTATGACTGCTAAATGCAGTCAATTTCACTCGATTACGTTAATGATTTCAATGATTTCATTGAATTTATGATTTCAGCGATTTCAAGCATAATTATCGGTGATCTCATGACTCACCATGATTTCATCGACTTCATCCAACTGAAATCAATGACTTCTGCTCATTGAAATCATTGAAATCTCACTGAACCGAAATAATAATTGATACCAAAGAATTATTCATCAGAACTATTGAATTTATTGTCACGAAATATTGACGAGCAATTACAAATTATTACTAGTATATCTAATAAACTATGATGACGAATTCTAAAAGTATTTGTTTACTTCTCTCAAAATTCATTGGTCAATTGTCAAGTTCCCCTTATCATCAAAAGTTGGAGGTGAAATAGTCTTTTGATACTGTTTGATGTCGATATAGCCTTGAGCCGTCATTGGCTGCGGCAGTAACGTATCTTAATCTTTTCTCATAATATACCAAGATATTCGCAAGAAAAATAATGATAATGATTTTGCTTTGTGGATGTAAAGTGAGATTTGGACGTCGGTCACATGGACATACTGATTTCTTTGATTTTATTGACTGCAGATGATGTCACGAAATGACTTCACAGTTTGAAATCATGAGATTTCGGTGATTTCAATTATGCCAGTGATTTCAATGATTTCCGACTTGACTGCAAATTGATTTCGGTGGCATGTGACACCATGATTTCAGAAGTTCCCAGCCCCACATCGAAAAATTTATATTTTGAAAAATATTATATATTATATATTATATATTATATATTATACCACACATACATATTATATATATTTAAAAATATTTAAAAAAAAAAATGGAATTATGGAGTGGGCCATATATATTTTTCAAATATATATTTTTTGGATGGGGTGTGTGCAGCGTCAGCTCAACGTCAACTGTAACTCCATTCCATGTTTCTCAATAATGTTTTGTTCTGACTTATTACTGTTGCTGTTGCACGTTGCACTGCGGAATTTTATAACTCAAAACGTAAAACGATAAGGCACGACGCACGTTGAGTTGACAAATGGCATTTGCATCATTGGCTGGACAGCGATTATTCCCCAGCCCGCATTTGTATCGTATCACAGTCAAACTTCAACATGACACTCCACTGGTTTTACGATTCTCCTGTTATCCGCGTTTTATTTTTCCCCTGCGTTTTCCTGGTCCAGATAAAAATAGTACAAACGTGTTTCCAGAGATTTCTCGACTCTGTGACGCACCAGAAAAATCGTTATTCATACTTTTCAATGTTTTTAGAGCCACATTACTTGATACTGGAGTACGTCATGTATGGGAAGCTGTTGGCCTACTTGAGGGACCACCGAACGCGACAGGACTTCTACAATTTCAGCGAGGACTCGGCAGCCCTCACGTCCCGAGACCTCACGGTCTTCGGTTATTGTGTGGCCAGGGGAATGGAGTATCTCGCCTCCAAAAAGGTACATTTGAAGATGATTTGAGGATTTTGGGATTTTGGGAAAATTGAAATTTCGGGGACAATTGGCTCGCAATTTTGACGAGGGATGCATTCGATTTAGGGAGGAAATCGTGATTTTTCAGATTCTAATGGAATTTAATGGCAATTATGAATTTTTTGAAAATCAGTTGAACCTTCAATATTGTGAATTATTCGGAAATTTACAGTTTCTTTCGATTTTTCCACGGAATTTTGTGATTTTAATGCGGAAATTCCTTAAAATTTGCAGGGTATTCCTAATTTTTTGCAGCAAAAACAGAAAAACTTCCTGAACATATTTAAATTCAGTAGTAAAGTGGTAGACAGAGATAAGTCGACTTATCTCCCAGTTGAGTTTTTGAGGAATATTTCCGAATCTAAGGGAAATAGCGAAATTTTTGTAACTGCATTTGTTGTAGCACTCAAGCAGCTCCACGAAAAATGTTATAACAAAAATTTTGCTATCCTCCCTAGATTCCGAGATATTGACTGAATTTTTAATTGAGAATTGAAAAAAAATGAAATTTCCTGTATTTTCAATTATAAATTGAAAATTCAATATTCAGTACGAATTTCCCTAATTTCTACAAATTTTCATGAAATTTCAGGATTTTTTTAAGGAATTCCCTGAAAATTCAGAAGAATCTGGAATTCAAGGCCAAATTTCCCTGAATTTTTCAGATTTATAATTAATTTTTCGGGACTAATTGTTCCTGGAAAATTAATCAATCAAATTAATTAAACTGAAATAAAACGGGTCAAGTTGCAATTTTGGGAAAAATCCATTTCAGAGGAGCTAAATCGACATAATCCGAAAAAAATTATTAAAAAATGAGCCAAGTCGACTTAGCTCATTTTGTATGGATTCAATGGGTATTCTTAATATTCTTCTTAACTTGGAGTAGTTTGAATTAAAGAATTGGATTTCTAGCTTTCCCACATTACCGACTATAGAATATATTATTATGACTTTAGAATAAAGGAAAATTAATTAAATTCCTCCACCTGATAATTTGTCACTCAATTTTTTTTATCGAGTGGCTGTTAAGTCGACATAACTCGGTGGGAGGGGAAAATCGCGAGAGCTAAGTCGATTTAACTCTTCGAGTGTGGAAAACAATCCGAGCCAAGTCGATAAAAATTGTTAAAAAATAGGGGAGGGTGGGGCAAAACGGCCCCCCTTCAATTGTCAATAACTTGTGAATGACATTGTGAAAATTCCCAGTTTCAACTTCCTTTGGAAGATAATTCTTCATTCTTCAAAACGAGCTCTAACTCATCCCAATCGGATTATTGAATCGGAAAATATTGACGATTGAAAGGGGGCCGTTTTGCCCCATCCTCCCCTAGTCTGCAGAAGTTGCAACTCATCACGCTAAAATCTCTCTCGATACTGAGCGAAACCCTTGCCTGAGTTTGATTAAATTCACAAAAGGCCAGTCCCTATCAGTTCGCTCTCCTCTGAAATTTACATTTTTCGACTTTCCCCGGTTCACCGCTTCGCTACTGAATTGAGAAATAAAAGAGAACAAGAGAAATACAAATGAAGAGTACCGGTTCTCCAGGTCCGCGATATTCGATCTCAAATATTTGTACAACTCAGGGACAAATCGAAGAAAAAAAAATCCCCCCGAAGAGAGGGAAGATGAAAAATCGGCGATACCCAGATGTACGCGAGTTGAACCCGCTGGCCGACTGGCGTACTTTGATCCTCCCTCGAAAATGTGTGTCGGCACTGTTGCCCGCTGACTGCCTCGGCATCAAGGCCGATCGAGCAATAATCCACCGAGCGATGACGATAAATACAAATTAGCGTGTAACAGGCGCCACCTTATTTCGTTATCATCCTTACGGTTTATTATTGTCTCCCACCGATGTCCCGACAAAACATCATTACCCCAGGTCTCCACATCTATTTACCCACCGCAAAACAACGGAAAAAAGTCACCAATAACGCGTAAAAATTTATGCTAATACCCGAGCGCGCGCTACGAACCTGTCCTATGAGTGTCGTTGGACTTTGAGAAATGAAAAGATAAAACTGAAAACTGAATCGTTTCACCACTTGATCAGATGTACACAAAGGAGGGGAGAGAATAAGTCTGAAACGATTCACTCTAATTGGCTGAAACGAACATTCACATTTATGGATATCTGTAATTGGACGATCCAGGAATGTCGTCCCTAGTGGAGTTGATAGTTTGAGTCGTCATTTTTTCTCCTAAATTCTCGCACATTTTTCCTCCATCCCCCTAGGAATTTTTATTGCTAACCGGGGATAAATCCTACGACATGTCTAATCCTCCTGGGCAATAACCCGCGAGTTTGCATTGGTAACTGTTAAATACCGTCAGCAAGTCATATATTCCGGCATAAATTTGAGCCCAAGTGAATGCTCCTCAGTGCCTGGAAAATCGTTAAAAACATGGACAAATAAATGGACGATGTATTTTATGGCGCAATCATTTCTACCTCCGTCAAAGCCATCGACACGTCCTATAATCACATCTTCCTCGTCCGCGATGACTTTTTTTTTCATCACCTTTTGTTGTTTATTTGTCCCGCGATAGTATGTACAGTCAATTTACCAGACGACTAGGAAGATGTTCGTTAATCGTCGGGCTGCATCTGCCGGAGGCAGCTGGGGATAGCAAATGTATTTGCATACAATACCGCCCTGCACTGAGGGAAAAACAAACGCGTTGTCAAACAAGTCTTGTTTGGGCCAACAAAATGGCTAGTTGAAAATTGCCAAAAAAGAATTTGGTTGGAATTCAGTAACGAAGCGGTAAACCGGGTCAAGTCGATTTGGACTATTGGCCAGTTTTTAACGAATATCTGGGAATCTAAAAGAGATAGAAAAATTTTTGTCATGACCTTTTTTGTAGAGCCAACTGAGGGTTGTAAAAAAGGTAATGAGCAAAATTTTGCTATCTCTCTTAGATTCCGAGGTATTTGTCAAAAAATGGCCAAAAGTCAAAATCGACTTAACCCGGTTTAACGCTTCGCTACTGAATTTTAAGGGTGCAAAGTGAATTTGAAAAAAGATTCAAAAAAATTTTTTCTTTCCCTCCATCACTGGAGAAATATGTATGAATACATCCGACGAAATTTCAAACCCGCAACCGGAACTAGACATCGAGAAAATAAATGCGGAAAATCCTCTATTTCGCGTGACGAACCTCGAGAAAGCATGGGATCAAATGGGTACGGCGGGTTGAAATATCTCTCTTATTCACCCCGGTACCCCATTGTTTTTTGTCGCCATCACATTGAACACATCATTCCCCATATCTTCAAATTTTTTCAAATTTTTCTTGAGTTCCTAGGGGGTTGAAACGTTCAATTTAATCAAAACTCCATAAGAGGCCGTGTATAAGACTGATTTTGTTTATTTAATTTCTCGATATCCATAAGTTCTAAAATTTTAAAACTGTCACCGATGTTCACCATCTGTCTAATACTATTAATTAAACAAATTATAACTTTGTTGGTGAATGTCAATTTTCAAGGTCATCGCCAAATTCACTTGGCACCCTTAAAGTCTCAAACATGAATAATTGTTCTGCTTTCGACAGCAACGAAATATTTGGCTCAACAGGCGGATAATTCACACCAGACGGTGCCTTTTCAGGATGAAAATATCTCATATAGAGGACAATTTTCTTGGCACAAGTAAGACTTGTTTGAGAATTTTGTCGTCTTCTCTGAGTGTAGGATGAGGAAAAAATACGACATCGAAATGTTTAATCCTTACAACATATTTTTCACCCTAACGTGTTGCATAAGGGGCGTCAAAAAATCGTGCGCAATTGCTGTTTTTTTTTCGAGCGAGTACAAAGGCCCTCAGCATTACTTAATTATTACTAAAAGTAAGGAAATACCGCGGCTGCCTCTCATGACCGGTATTTAAGATAATTATGGGGCTCGTCCTCCACCGTAAACGCCATTACTGCTTTAGCGAATATGGAAGTCTTCGCGGCTTGAAGTACTTCCGCTTCACACTTTTATCGGGTTGATGGGAGGGAATATTTTTATGCGACAATGTTGCGTGTCGAGGTTTTTCAGGTTTGGTTTTGTCTGATGGAAGTGGAGATTTCCACAAATTTCAGGACTGAGTTTCATTTTTGTGGGCAATTTCGATGATTTTGGGAGGAAACAGGAGGTGGGGAGGAGAGTGAAAATCATGAAATTTCAAATTTGATAGAAAATCCAATTCTCGTGACCGTTTCGGACCCCCAGACCCTTAATCTGACCCTCGGGACTCCTATTTTGACTCTGGTGACCTCTAGTTTCTGACTCTTGGTTTTTAACCCCGATGGCGCTTATTTGGACCCTTACATTGACCCTCGTGACCCTTATTCTGACTTTTTCAATCCTTATTCTGACCCTTTTGGCCCTTATTCTGACCCCTGTGACCTTTAATTTGATCCTTGTGACCCTTATTCTGACTTTCGCGACCCTTATCCTGACCCTTTTGGCCCGCGTGACCCTTATTCTGACCCTTATAACCCTTACTCTGACTTCTGTGACCTTTAAATTGATCCTTGTCACACTTATTTAGAACCTTAATTTGGCCTTTAGTTTCTGACCCTTATTCTGACTTTTGCAACCTTTATTCTAACCCTTTTGGCCCTTACTTTGGTCCTCGTGACCCTTATTCTGACCTTTTTAACCCTTACACTGACCCCTGGGACCTTTAATCCGACCCTTGTGACACTTATTTAGATCCTCAATCTGACCCTTATTCTAGCCCTTTTGGCCCTTATTTTGACCCTCATAACCCTTATTCTGACCCTCATGGCCCTTAATTTCAAAGTCTCAATTTCGAGTACCAAATTGTTATCATCAGAAGACTAGATTGCTGACACAAGACGTTACATGTTTCAATTTTTGTAAACCAAGATTGAAAATTTAAAATATTCTCGTCTGAATTTCCTCATTTCCATTAATTTCCTTGGAATAACCGAACTGAGCCCCCTTGAAATTCCACGGGAATTTCACTAAAAAATTTCAAAAATTGCCAACAGTGTCTAAACATTAAAAATTGAACTCACCATTCCAGATAATCCATCGTGATCTGGCAGCGCGAAATGTCCTGGTGGATCACAACAAACTCTGTAAGATAGCGGACTTCGGTATGTCGAGGTTCGCCAACGAGGATGGCGAATGCGTCGAGACGAGACACGGCAGAAATGCCCTGCCAATAAGGTGGATGGCCCCGGAATCCCTCATCTACTCCCTCTTCACAACAAAAACCGACGTATGGAGTTTCGGCATACTCATGTGGGAGATCGTAACCCTAGGTAAATTCAATAAATCAGTGTTATGTGTAGCGAGAGCGCTTGTCCTCTCGGTGTAGGGGTTAATCCAGGAAGTGTTGGACTCAACCTGAACAAGTTATTTCATGATAATACTGATGTTGTTTCTCGCCCCGCGGTTGTGTTTGAAAAAAAAAAAAAAAAAAACGGGGAGGGAAAAAAGGTAAATAAGTAACGGTGATGCCTTCTCTGCAGGTTCCACGCCGTACCCGGACATGGCAGCGCGCGAGGTCATGCGGAACGTACAGAATGGCTATAGACTGGAGAGGCCCTCGCACTGCCGCAGTGAGCTCTTCAGGGTGATTGCCAGGTGCTGGCATGCCGATCCCGATCGTCGGCCCGAGTTTCAAACACTCAGGAGGGATCTCGCTCAGTTGCTCGAGGATAATATGAATGGACATTACGTCGATCTTGAGAGTTTTGCCTCTGAATGCGCTGACTGAGTACTTATCATCCTCAAAATTCGATATTTATAATCGTGAAATTGGAGGTGGAGTTGAGGCTTCGTGTGAGATACCTTGGGGACAGAGGGAGTTGATTGGGGGAATCCCGGGACTACGCGCGATTTTCATTTTTACCGAATGAATATCGATAACTAATCAATTTATGTGTTTAATGTTTTGAATTTGTATCGCCCGCGCTCCCTTTTCTCTCTAAACATAACCCCGCGTGGTAGAAGGGCAGCTGATGTTGGGGGATTGTTGGTGGACTCGAGAATAATCACAGACGAACAATTACGATTTTTCGATGGGAAAAGTGAAAAGAAAATCGATGTATATTTCCATTACTTGAAAAAAGTGGTGTGACCCCCCCTTAGGGTCATTAGACCCTAAGACAGAACAGAAACACCAAGAAACCTTGAAAAAAAATACCCACAAGGAAACCTTGTGTTCCTTATTTTGATCCTTGAGACCCTTACAACCCTTATTATGACCCTCGTGAGCCTTGTTCTGACCCTTGTGGTCCTCATTGTGACCCTTATTGCGTCACGAGGGTCAAAATAAGGATCATGAGGGTCAAAATTGTAGGGAATTTTTGTTAAAATTCTGGTCATTTTGTCAATAGATTTTGATTTTTCTGTGTGAACTGGGGGAATACGTTCCCTCGATGCGCCTCATTATAACCCTCGTGAACCTTATTTTGACCCTTGTGGACCTTATTTTGGCCCTTGTGACCCTTATTCTGACACTTGTGTTCCTTATTTTGATCCTTGAGACCCTTACAACCCTTATTATGACCCTCGTGACCCTTGTTCTGACCCTTGTGGTCCTCATTGTGACCCTCATGATCCTTATTTTGACCCTCGTGACCCTTATTGCGTTATTCAAAATTGATTAGAAAATTCTATTAAAATTGTAGGGAATTTTCGTTAAAATTCTGGTTATTTTGTCAATAGATTTTGATTTTTCAGACCCTATGATCACCTCGTTCGTCCCTCCCGTTTGACCCTCAACACCGTTTGATCCTTATAACTACTCTCTTCCCGTTGAAAAATGACGGGGGCCACAGGTATCTTATAAGAAACCCACGGAACATAAACATTCGGGAGGCGATCGAAGTGCCGAGAGTGGGGGTAGGCCTCGAGCGCTCGGAGCGCGAGGTATCTTATACGGAGCCTCTACTGCATTTGGGTGCCTGCAGACGAAGAGGAATTTATTATAAACATTATTCCGAAAAATAATGGAAATTACATTGACATGAACTCTTCTTCGTGCATTGTGAGAGAGATTGCCTGCAGTTATTTGTATTCTCCCTTGCTTACTAGATCTTTAAGTGGTTTATCAGGTGATATTTGCGCCATTTTTCGAGATGACCTTCTTCAATTTACTTCAGAAGTAAATTTCAAGAGGCTGACGACGTACAAAAAGTAAAAAGAGATGATGAGGGAGGATCACGTATGAAAAAATTGAATAGAAAATTCTATTAAAATTGTAGGGAATTTTTGTTAAACTGGGGGAATACGTTCCCTCGATGCGCCTCATTATAACCCTCGTGAACCTTATTTTGACCCTTGTGGACCTTATTTTGGCCCTTTTGACCCTTATTCTGACACTTGTTTTCCTTATTTTGATCCTTGAGACCCTTACAACCCTTATTATGACCCTCGTAACCCTTGTTATGACCCTTGTGGTCCTCATTATGACCCTCATGATCCTTATTTTGACCCTCGTGACCCTTATTCTGATCCTTGTGGTCCTTATTTTGACCCTTATTATAACCCTCATGACCCTCACGGCCCTTAATTTTGGAATTTTAATTTTGAGTACCAAATTTTTATCACCAGAAGTCCTTCTCTTATCATTTTTCCTATAAAAATACTTGGGCATGAATTTTCCAAGTTTTTTTTAGTCGCATCCTGTAACGCAAAACACAACAAAAATAGCTGAAAAAATTAAAAAAACCCGTGACTAAATAATTTTAATAGAAAAAATTTCAAGTGAAAAATTCAGACAGAAATCTCGAAATTCAAATCAAATATTTAATAGAATCTGCGCAAAAAATAAATGGAATTTCAACGAGAATTTCCTAAAATTTTAGTAAAATCCGCTGAGGTTTTCTGTTAAATTTTTTCATGCGTGGAGATTAATGTATTCGTCACTGCGCAGTGAATACATTGGATTCGGCTATTGTATCAAGTTTATAATTCCTCGTCCGATTCCTCAATCATCTCCATCACTTCCACGGACGCCTGAACAGCGTCCTCTCATCCTTCCATTCGTTTATTATCATTAGATTACTCTCGTCAATTAATTCTCGTGCATAAACCTTGTAAATAGATGTCTATTGTATCAATGATTTGTTGACTCTCACGTTTAATCAAAAAATGCACGGGAATGTCATTGTTTTTTTTCTTTTTGAAAATTGCGTTATTTTCGATCTAGCCTGTAAGTTTTATATATTTTATATGCATTATTGTATAAAATTAAGGTTATTCTTAATCATTCTAGTCTTTCGACGCGTCTTGGAGGGATAATCCAATTCCAATAGTGCATTAGGAAGGACCAAACACAGTAGTGTGATATTAAATGTGTTTTTTTTTCATTTATTCTATTTCGTCCGATGTTGGTTATTGGATTATCAGTGAACTCCGCGTTCGTCAGTTTATTATAAGCGAGTTTTTACTTTAAATTAGGATTAAAATGTCGAATTGTTTCCAAAATCAATGATATTTGACTCTAAACTCATGTTCAATAAATAAAAATTGAGTTAAAAGTATCAAGTGTCAAGTTAATTACCCGCACTGTTGGGGAAAAATTTAGTTTTCACTGAAAATTCAATGAAGTTACGAATTTTTGAAGAACAGAAATACGAGAATTCTTAAAGTGGATTTTTTAATCAATTTATTTGAGGGAATTTTTCGCAATTTCAGGGGAACTTTACTGGGTTTTTTAATTAATTTTTTTCTTCAGGTTCTGTAATTATTTATGAACAAGTTTTTACTTCAATCTCCGATCAGAAAGGTTGAATAAACTCATGGTCAAAAAATAAAAATTGAGTTGAAATATTCGCAGTTTTGGAAAAAAATTAAAATTTTAGGTTTCACTGAAAATTCAATGAAATTCCGAATTTTTAACGAACAAAAAAATGAGAATTCTCAAAGTGGATTTTTTAGTCAATTTATTTGACGAAATTTTTTGCAATTTCAGGGGAACTATACTGTATTTTTTAATTTATTTTATTTCTCCACGTTCTGCAATTGTCAAACTCAATGATATTCGACGCTAAACTCATGGTCAATAAATAAAAATTAAGTTGAAATATTCGCACTGTTGGAAAAAAATTGAAAAGTTAGTTTTCACTGAAAATTCAATGAAATTCCTAATTTTTGGGCAACAAGAAGACGAGAATTTCCAAAATTGAATTTAAGTTTAACTTTAACAAATTGGACTTCTAGCTTTCCCACTTTACCGACTATAGAATTTTATTATGACTTTAGAATAAACGAAAATTAATTAAATCCATCCACCTGATAATTTGTCAATCGATTTTCTTTATTGAGTGGCGGTTTAAGTCGACATAACTCGGTTGGAGGGGAAAATCAAGAGAGCTAAGTCGATTTAACCCTTCGAGTGTGGAAAACAATCCGAGCCAAGTCGATAAAAATTGTCAATAAATAGTCTGCAGAACGAAATCTGTGCCTGAGTTTGATTAAATTCCCAAAAGGACAGTCACTATCAGTTTTTCCGCTCTCCTGTAAAATTCAAATTTTTCGACTCAACCCCATTTACCGCCCTGAAATGTTATTGTATCAAAGAGAAAGAAAAATACGAACCGAAAAATCAGTGGAGCGTAAAATGTGTTTACTTAGCACCTCGCCTGATATTGTACAATTAATTACCTAAACATGAATGGAGGAGGGCTGCATTGAAATAAGAAGGAATCTGCACAATCTCAGTGGGGAATCGGAGTCGTCGACCAAGTAAATAATTCACCAAAGCCGCCGTCAAGGTTCACCACCGAGTCCAGTGTTCGGAGGGTCACATGTGTGTGAGTGCATTTGGATTGCAATCTCTCGCCTTCGAACGCCCGCGCTAATTAAATTAATTAAAGCCCCCCCCTGCCCCCCCCCGCTCATGTGACTTTGTCGTTGGTTTTGTTATCCAGTGTCTTCGTATACGGCTGAGAGCGCCTTGTATTACTACGTGTGCCAATTAAATACGGCCAGTTGAACAAATTGCAGGGGTCCTGTGGGTATCCAAGGGGCACGTGCAGCCTCCTGAATGAATTTTGTTGGAAACATGTGGAGAAAATCAACCCTTGATCCTCTGCCCGGGGAATGATCCCTAGAGCGAAGTTACGTGCCTCAAGAACCTTTTCTAGGTGAAAAAATAATGAATTATTTAGTCTCATAGACAGAACAAGTAGGAAATTCCTCTTGTATTCAGAGCTGGGCAAAATAGTATTTCAAGTATTCATGAGTAATTACTATTTGAAGTTGTTGAACATCGCAAATAAAATAGGATCTGGATAGTTGGGCTGAAATGAATAGTATTTGAATAATTCGATCGAGGAATATACTATTTGAAATATATGAATTATTTCAAATAGTATTAGAACCATTAGTATAATAGTATAGAACCATTTGGAATAGTATTTCTATTTGATTTTCATAAAATAGTGCCTGGTTCTGTGATTATGTCACCACAAGAAATCAATGAAGGTGATAAGGGATAAAAAAGAGAAATATTCGTAGGAAAAAAAAAATTCCATGTTAAACCAATAGTGAAATAGTGAAATAAAATAGTAAATACTATTTCATTTTCTGCTTCGTTGAAATGAAATATCAAATAACTATTTTATTTCAATTTCAAAAAGACACATAAATAAATACTATTTGATCGACCAGAATAGTTAACTTGAAATATATATTTCAAATAGTATTTCATCGCACTGAACCACTTGGAATAGTATTTCTATTTGATTTCATAAAATAGTGCCCGGTTCTGTGATTATGTCACCACGAGAAATCAATGAAGGTGATAAGAGATAGGAAAGGGAAATATTCGTAGAAAAAAAAACTATTCCATGTAAAACCAAAAGTGAAATAGTGAAATAAAATAGTAAATACTATTTCATTTTCTGCTTCGTTGAAATGAAATATCAAATAACTATTTTATTTCAATTTCAAAAAGACACATAAATAAATACTATTTGATCGGCCAGAATAGTTAACTTGAAATATATATTTCAAATAGTATTTCATTGCACTGAACCATTTGGAATAGTATTTCTATTTGATTTCATAAAAGAGTGCCTGGTTCTGTGATTATGTCACCACGAGAAATCAATGAAGGTGATAAGAGATAGGAACGGGAAATATTCGTAGGAAAGAAACTATTCCATGTAAAACCAAATAGTGCAATAGTGAAATAAAATAGTAAATACTATTTCATTTTCCGTTTCGTTGAAATGAAATATCAAATAACTATTTTATTTCAATTTCTAAGAGACACATAAATAAATACTATTTGATCGACCAGAATAGTTAACTTGAAATATATATTTCAAATAGTATTTCATCGCACTGAACCAATTGGAATAGTATTTCTATTTGATTTCATAAAATAGTGCCTGGTTCTGTGATTATGTCACCACGAGAAATCAATGAAGCTAATAAGAGATAGGAAAGAGAAATATTCGTAGAAAAAAAACTATTCCATGTAAAACCAAATAGTGCAATAGTGAAATAAAATAGTAAATACTATTTCATTTTCCGTTTTGTTGAAATGAAATATCAAATAACTATTTTATTTCAATTTCAAAAAGACACATAAATAAATACTATTTGATCGACCAGAATAGTTAACTTGAAATATATATTTCAAATAGTATTTCATCGTACTGAACCACTTGGAATAGTATTTCCATTTGATTTTACTAAAATAGTGCCCAGCTCTGAGTGCGATGCGGATTTTCACTTGAGAGTTCATCAACTCTCGATATCAATCCAAAATTATCCCCAGAATGACGATGTCAAGGTGATGCTGCATAAACATGGCCAGTCGGTTAAAGTGTGTCAGACTTCTCTACATCAGAGAACTGTTTTCAGCTTTCACTGTGCGCACGCTAGGCGTCTGTCCTCATCCCCATTATTTCTACTATTGTGGGATTAGAAAAAAAAATATTGCTCAGCGCCTGCTGATCATTGAATTGTCTAAAATTCTGTCTTCACCCAATTCGCATTGCCTCAATGTACAGCTATCGCGTGCAAATGGGATCGCGTGATCAGGGATGAGTTATCCAGTGGATTGGATGGGCGTTAATCAAGTCAAAACGATACCTACCGTGGAATCCCCTTGAGCGGTTTCAAAATCGACTCCGTTACTCTCTCTCTTATTCAATTATATTTTTTATTTTCGGGCAATCATTCTGCCCTCGATGGATTCAGGCTAACTTCGCTAACGGTAAAGCCCTCGCAATGTCAACAAAAATTTAACGGTGGAGAGTATCAGTTCTGAATGAATATAATTAATCTATTTCTTAGAAAGTGATAATTCTAAATTTCACAGGTCAATTATTATTGGTTTCATTACATCTCTCTATATTATAAAAATCCAAATCGATTTTTCGTGATGAAAATTAGGTACTTAAAATTAAGACTCCGGATTTACGGATCGCAAGGGTCTGAATAAGGGTTGAGGGTCATAATAAGGGTCATGCGCGCCAAAATAAGGGCCATGAAGGCTAGAGTAAGGATCGCGAGGGTCAAAATAAGGATCGTGAGGGTCAGATTAAGGGTTGTGAGGGTCAGATTAAGGGTCAAAATAAGGGTCTTTATATATCTTCATGTTATAAAAATCCAAATCCACTTCTGTTGATGAAAATTTGGTACTCAAAATTAGGAATCCCAAATGAAGGGTCACAAGGGTCTGAATAAGGGTTGAGGGTCAAAATAAGGGTCTTTATATATCTTTATGTTATAAAAATCCAAATTCACTTCTGTTGATGAAAATTTGGTACTCAAAATTAGGAATCCAAAATGAAGGGTCACAAGGGTCTGAATAAGGGTTGAGGGTCAAAATAAGGGTCTCCATAAATCTCTATATTATAAAAATCAAAATCGATTTCTGGCGACGAAAATTTGGTACTCAGAATTAATTAGTGGTCACGAGGGCCATAATGAGGGTCGCAAGGGCCGGATCAAGGGTCAAAATAAGGGTCTCTGGCGACGAAAATTTGGTACTCAAAATTAATTAGTGGTCACGAGGGGCACAATGAGGGTCGCAAGGGCCGGATCAAGGGTCACAAGTGTCGGAATAAAGGTCATGAAGGTCATCTGGATATCACATTAAAAAAAAATCCTCAATAATAAATTGATAAATTTTCTAATGAACTGAGGCCTGCAAGAGCCCCAAAATCACTCTCCCACCCCTGTCCTCCCCTCCTCGTCCCGCTCCGCCCGATGATCCGCCCAATACTAGCAAATTTTAATCTCAAAATAAGACGTACATCAAGCCGATGTTTCTCAACGTATAAAAGACACAGAAAGCGAGATTTCCACCTTTGTTAAACACGCGACTGCATTCCCCACCTACCCCAACTCCCCTGTCGGGTTCACGCAGAAGCGTGTCCTCGCTTATCTCCGAGAGCTACTCGTAACTCCCTCACTGACTCTCACAAGTAAAAAGGGGGTACAGTTGTACGCCGCTTGGTTGCATTTCGCTTCACATTGCATTCTCCACCGTGGTATAACCAAAGTACACTTGGCATCAGTAAACTCTGTTTGCTGGTTGTAGAGTCGTTTATACGACAGCGTGTCTTCTTGCCTTGTACCCCCCCCNACCGCAATGTTTCCACGTGTTGAATGTTACCGCGCGACGGTTAACTAAATAAAAGGAAAATTGGAGAGAAGGAAAGGGGGAGACAGAATGGAACGATAAAACTGTCTTCAAACTGGACACCCTTCTTTATTGCTCGACGTGAATTTTTCAAGATCAATCGATTCCACCGGGGCAAATGACGATAAAAAAAAGCCACAAGAAATTAAAGACAAATTGGAGGAGAGAACGAGTAAAATACAAAGAGCGCTTGTACAACTTTCGAAATGTCCGTTTTTTCCCATTTCCTTTTTTCACTTCCTATGCTTCAGAGATCTTGCCTTGATAAATCCCAAGAGGGATTGCGCTGTTATTATAAATATTTTATGACTGGGGTAATGTTTTTCGGTGATAAATCTGAACGTGTTGCTGGGATTTTAATCACGCGTTGATTCATTTTCCGTGACAGCCAGTTGTTTGAACTATTAAATCAGTGTTTTGTTGGGAATTTGTGGGAGTTGCCTCCGGTTGAGTGAAGTGCGACCGACTTATCTGCCTCCCACTGCTGAATACCTTGAGCTGAACCGAGACTAAAGACTGCTTTCTCGGTCATGAATGAGATGAAGTCTTTGCATTATCCTATCTTTCACTCGTACACGCCTTAACGCCCTTTTCTTCACTCCCTGGGATTCCCTGTACCACTTGTAACGGCAGATGACGATGCAAATTCTTTGACATTTTTTTTGTGTGCAGAGCATTTTTTCAAATATTCAATGATTTTTCCGCATTTTTTGGGAATATTAATTGTCATCGTGGCTCTTTAATGAGCAATACTTCCTCATCACGCCGAAAGTAAGCGACTCCACTCTTGACATCGGGGGATTGTCACTCCCCCTTTTTCCTCATCCCATGAGTTTGATGATCATGACCATTCCAATCGCCTCCTTTCTCCCCTCTTCATTTGAACACTTCCCCTCATCCCGGCTGCCCAAGCGATTTTTGACCTACAAAAACGAGGAGATACGCCGGACACCTGTAGCAGTAAAATTAACGAGCAACAGAGAGGAGGTGAATGTCAGCCTCACTTGTATGAGCATCGAAACGTGGGGAAGATTGAAGTGAGCACCAGTGTCTTGCTGATGCACGCTGGCTGATATTCCGAGCCGAGTAGTCGACGTGTGCGTGCGTTACTCACGGCCACGACTATTCCACGTGCTATTTGATATTAAATTTATAAAAAAAATTCCGAGTGAGCGTGATTGATTATTTGTGATTGTTACCCTGTTCTTCATGCGATAAGATGAAAATTCCGCTGATATTCCTCGCCACCTTGGTAAGCCCATCAATCCAACATTCACCAACATCGGATGTCATCACTGCTAATATCGCAGTTGATTTTTTTGTCATGATGATTCCTTGGCGACGAAATTTTCGTATTCAGGAGTTTTTTCGACGAAGCAATCGGAGAGAATGGAGTTTAAAAAAAATCAACAGTGAAATTCTACCGTAGAAATTTAGTGGGTCATCTTGACATTAGGATTCACAATCGGTTCTGTGAATAGTATCACGAAAAAAAAATATACTTGAATTGAGTATGAAATATACTTGATTTAAGTATACTTGACCAAGTATACTTGATCAAGTAAGTAAGTCCAAGCCCTTGAGTCAAGTAAGTCTTGATTTAAGTATACTTGAATCAAGTATACTAAAGTATACTTGATTTAATTGAATCAAGTAAATTATACACTTGATTCAAGTATATTGTATACTTGATTTAAGTATACTTGAAACAAGTATACTTGATACTAAAGTATTTTATGCTAAAGAACAAGTATATTATACAAAAAGAAGATATAAGTCAAGTATTAACTTATATCTTCCTTATTATAGGTTTATTATACTTGAATCAAGTATACTAAAGTATACTTGATTCAATTGAATCAAGTAAATTATACTTCAAGTATAAAATATACTAGAGTCAAGAATAATATCCTTAAATCAAGTATATTTTATACTGGAATCAAGTATATTATTCTTGATTCAAGTATAAAATACACTTGATTCAAGTATTCAAGTTTATATTTTTTTCCGTAATAGAGAGCAAAGAAGCTACCGATGAAATTCAAATTTTTACAGCCTCGTCCCAACCGGCTTTTACTCTCAATTAACTTGTTTTTCTACGTCATTTCATTTTCTTTTCTCCGATTTTTTTTTATTTCGTTAAACCGTTAAGATATTCACCGCGAATGATACGATATTCGGAGTTAGCTCTCACTTTCGGTAATAAATGTCATTGCTATGAAAGCCGTTTCCCGCTTGTCCCGAGTTGTCCGGGGATTTCACCTCGTTAAACGATCCAATCGGGTCTATCGATCGGTTAATATTCATTGGTCAATTGATGGTTCAAATCCACATTTTTTCCTGTCTGTTGAAAAATCCGGGAGCTCTTTAGGAGAATTATTTTGTTTTTGGTCGCCAGGCTGTCGTGATTCTGTTCGCGACAGCGAGAGCAGATGATGGAGGAGATATCGGGGCAGATTACTTTGATGGCGAGGAGGGAAACTCCAGCAAAATATCTGCGTCGTTGAGGATCAGCGATGGACTCTTCAAGAACCGAACGGAGATGGTTAAGGGAGCTGTCTCAACGGTAAATAAACAAATCGACTCGGTCCCGGCCAATTGCCTTCTCGGCATTCGTGTTCGAATTACGCTGTTGAAATTTTTTGGGATTTGAGTAACAGATGCATTTCGATTTTCAATATTCGGAAGGTGAATTCAATTTCTAAAAGACTAAGTTGCTCGTGGAGTTCCTGATTCATCTTGGAAATTCACTGAAACTAATTTTTTTGTAACGAATGTCAATGAAAAATTGTCATTGAATTTTTAATTACAATTTGGATTTTTACAATTATTGCGAAAATTATTAAGCAACGGATTGAAAATTCAGAAGAAAAGTTGCCTGAAGTTTCATGATTTTCAGGAATTTTCAAGAAAATATTCAAGAAAATTGCCTGATTTATAAGATCAATGGAAATTTCATGTAAATTATTCGTTGTAAAAATTTCAAATTTTCTTACTCGAAATTTCAAGAGTAATTTTCTAATAGTGTAGATTTTTCTGGATAACTTATTCTATTGAAATTTTTTCTTCAATTTTTCCTTCCCAATTTTTTTTTTTTGATTCTCCTGATGAAAAAAACGCGCGCACAGGTCTAGCAATAAATAAACAACTGACTAAAATATGACAAATGAAAAAAAAAAGATTGCAAATAAAATACTGTAAACACTGATTGAACAACCAAATAAAATGAATAAAACTCTATTCAGTGGAATTTTTTACACAATTATGACTTTGATGCTTCAAAAATCTATTCGACCTAAATTTCCGTTTGCCCTTAGGACAAACATTCGCACTCTATTCCATTCTATGTCACGAAACGTGGAGAAATCATGAAATTTCCCCGTGACTCCATTCATGACTGATTCCAGGTGGTGCCGAGCACCGAAAAGGAAGCGATAGCAGCGAGAGTGGACGTCCCAGAGAGGAGCAGCCGTGGAAATAGTACCCGGGAGCTAGCCCTCCCCACGGATCTGTCGATAGCCAGAATAATAACCGAGGACGCACCAGATACCGAAGAGGACATTGCGGAGACACTACCGGAGGTACATTGAGAGACAATTTTTTTTTATCGTTATTTTACATCGCTTCGACCCGGTTAGGGTATACTGCGCTGATGATCAAGACTTTAAATGGTTAAATCGCACCATTCTACCCGGCCGGGATTTGAACTCGAAACCTTTCGCATGTGAGGCAACGAACTTACCCACTGCGCCAAGCCACCGGTCTAGAAAAAAAAAATAAAAAAAAAATAAAAAAAAAAAAAAAAAAGGAAACAACCAAAAA